CTTGAATTAAACAAACGTTGAATAAGAACATGCTGGAGGTAGAAACTGACTAAATATCAAACTTGCATTACTACATTTTAAAAGCTAAAGTTTATGTAGAGAAGTTGATAGGCTGAAATACATCACATGATTTTGTTTACAAAGACACATGTTTTCTGCTGGTCTTCTAAATTTCCTTCTCTGCCTCAATTGAAGGGAATCACCTTTACCTTCATTGATCTGATAAGTCTCTCAGCTCTTGGGCCATCTCAAGTATATAAAATCTCCATCTCAAAGTCAACCTGAGACTCAACTCCTGGTGCCCTCTGTTAAGCAAGGAGTTTGAAAATTTACTAACAGCATTACCATCATGTTTTCTTGATTCCATGTCAATATCTTGCAAGCCTACAATGTCTTTCCTCATATGATCTCCCAAGTATCTAACCTTTCTTCTAGTTAGAAATAAAGAACAAGTAAAATGACGTGAAAGGAATCATTAAAAGAAAAATAGAACATGAAAGGACTACTGTAACAGAAGACAGCAAGTTGGAAAAAAAAAAATGTCTGGAACCCAAACCCGGGAGTAGGGATGTTCAGATGTTTGGGAAAGGACACAGGAAGCAGAGAGGAGGAATCCTCTTAGTTCAAAGATAAAGAGGTGTTAGGTCGGACAATGTGGAAACGAATAGACCATTCTTGAGTGCAGAGGTCAATGTTAAGTTTGAAGCAGAAATAGAATGAGGCCAGAGCCAATGCTGCAAAGGAGAGACTGAGTGAAAGGAGGCATGCAAAAACACAGTATGAAAATGTTAGTCAGAGGGTGGGAAAGTAGAACAAATAAGAGAGAAAAACTGGTCGTGCAGACACCTTAGGGTACCCTTAGAATGTATGAGTCCTGGGTTGATCATTCACTACGAGGGTGATCTTAGACAACTACGATTGCCCTGAAGAAAGCACCCAAGCTTTAGGGTGTGGGGACCAGGGGTTGTTACTAAGCCCTTTCAGGAGGGAAGCGCTTTGCTTCTCTTGGTCACTCTTTCTCTTCCGATTTTTCTTTCCTGAAGAGCGGAGAGCACGTTTTTGTTTTGCAAGTAGGCGATCTAGAACACGGAGACAAAAGACGTTGGCAAGTATCCTGAAAGTTTGGAAGAGGGACGTGCTGAAGGACTAAAGCGGACGCTTCTGGCCGGGGCCCCCAGAAGTTGGGAAGAGCTGGGGAGGAGCGAGGAGAGAGGGCCCAGGTCGACCTGGAGCCAACTCGGGACGGAGCCGGGGTGGGGCGGCGAGACTGGAGGCCGCCGAAGGCGCGGAAGCAGGGGACACGGGTCTGCCCCGGGACGTGGGCGGTCGCTCTCGCCATTGTCCCTGTGGCTTTCCGCCTGGGACGGAGGCATTGTGAAACATTTCCTTCCTCTGGGTCACTGAGCCCCTCCCTCTTTTATCGAGGGAAGAGCCGCTTCGGTGTGTTCTTGGGGATCTGGAGGCGGAAAGGCTCCGCTTTCCTGGCTCTCGCAACACGGATGCAGCCTTTCTCCTTCCTGGTAGGAAGAGGAGGGAGGGGTCGGGGAAGGAAGCCGATTTCCCCTTTTCCCCACGGCTCCTAGCCCCGTAGGTCGCCACCGGCCCTTGAGTGGGAAAGTGGGCTTGCTGGACGTTTCTGCCCATCTGGCCTAGGGCTTGCAGCTGCTGTTCGGTGGCAGGACGCAGACTGGCGGGACTTGATTCTTTCTCGAATGAATAAGAGCAAGCGCAGTTCCTTCCTTGGGCTCTAGGGAATTGAGCCGAGTTCCAGATCGCCCCTTCCGGAAACGCGAAACCGAGTCCCCACAAAAAAGTCTCTGGAGCGGGGGAGGGGGTGTGGGTCAATGCAAATGCTTTAAAAAGTCCAGAGCCTGAGAAATGTCACTTGGCCCCTAATCCAGGCATGCTTTCTAGGGGAAGCGCAGGGTCGACCAAGCGTCCCCCGAGAAAAGTTGGGCCAGAGAGAGCTCGCGGCAGACAGGGGAGCTGGAGAGGTGGAGTGGGGTATTTTTCTAGAAAGGGTAGCCCTGGCGGGTCTCCGAGATTGAGGAGGAGGGGCCTAAGTGGGGAGGACCGGGGACTGGGGCCGCTCCGGGGCAAGGAAATCTTGGAGAAGGGACTCAGCTCTGCACGCCAAGCCCAGCGCGGGAACGGAGTTACCGCACCGAGGGGAGGCGGGAAGGGAGGGGGGTCGAGGAAGCCAGCGGGGGAGAAGCGCAACAGAAGAGAGAATCTTCTCCCCGGAGCGGCCCCAGTCGTACAAAGTGCTGGTCACAGCGCCCCTTCTGCGTTTGCCGCCCACAGATTGACGAGCAGTGGCTCGGAGCCAGCGCGGAGGCTGCCCCTCCCCCGCCCGAGCCCGCCGTGCAGAGCGCGGTTTAGCACCGACTGAGCTCGGGGGGCGGCGTCTTTGGGATGGAAAGGCGGCCAAGAGGGAGGAGGAGCGGGGGGGGGCTCATTCGGCGACTATAAAAGGAAGAATCCGGCTGCCCGTTTCTTGCACTCGCTGGAAAGCGGCTCCGAGCCAGGGGCCCCTGCAAAGCCGGGGTGCACAGCCGGGCGGAGCGGGCAGAGCCCCGCGCCGTGAGCAGCACCGCAGCCAGGCAGAGGCCGAAGCGGGGTCGCGCTGCCGCATCACCGGAGGCGCCCCAGAGCGCCTCTTGTCCCCGACTGCGCCCGCCGCGCGGCGCCTCCAACGCTTGCGCTGGAAGGAAAACTTCCCGCGCGCCGGCTGAACTGCGGCGCCCGCTCCCAAGTGACTCCAGGAGCGTCGGCGGTGGCCGGCTCTGCGCGCACTTTCAAAGAGTAATCGCAGTTGTTCATTTCCACAGTCCAGAGCGAGCCCCGCGAGGCTCCGCGCTCCCAACCCGACCCAAAGCTCCCTCGCTCGGTGCGCTGCCGCGGGCGCCGTCACCAGGGCTCCGATGCAGCGAGCGGTCCGCGCGGGGTCCGCTTGGCGCCAGCCGCACAGCGACATGGGGAAGGCGGAGAGGGC